TTTCTCTCCGCCTCATCAATAATACAGCGCTGGCAACTCTTGCTTTCCTCTGTTTCCTCCTGATCCTGGCATGCCTTTGGCTCTTGGTCTCGCCTCCCTCTCTTCCCCCCTCTCTCTCCCTGCCATGGCGGCGCGTGCAGGCCGGCCCCTCGCTCGCCCACAATAAGTCTTTGTGTGCGCTGCAGTATATCCTCTGTTTCATCTAGGGCTCCAAAGACTCAGCCAATGTCCCCCCCCCCGTCAGAGATTACGCTTTAAAAAACGGTTTTTCACTTTTAAAATTCGCCCCCTTTCTGTTCACAATACTCTTCAGTGACATTTTGTTACAGGAACATCAGGGGGACGAAATAACAAAAATAGTTTCAATAATCTAGTAGAATCCATATGAACAGCCCTGTGATAAAATCTACATTTGACCATGAATGCGGCTTTTAAATTTCTGATTTATTCTTTTAGTTTTGATGTTTATCGACCATTTCACTTGGTACTTGTACACATTTGTACTCGTGCATAAACCTGCAGCCGCAAAATAACACACGTTTTTGTTTGCCTACATGGCTTCAATATTTTTTTGAAAATACTATCAAAATTGTGACCAGGGATCAGTGAATTTATTGGGAGCATCTTTATGCCTTACATTTAATATTAAATGGTCTGCAATAGGGATCAACCTAAGTACTTTTCTCTTAATTACTAAATTAGCTTCAAGTTTAAAAAATCGGTCCTCTCTCTAATCAATGTAATTCCCTATACAACCCCTGGGGCTGAACAAGACTGGATGTGTGTGTGTGTGTGTGTGTGTGTGTGTGTGTGTGTGTGTTGTGTGTGTGTGGTGTGTGTGTGTGTGTGTGTGTGTGTGTGTGTGTGTGTGTGTGGTGTGTGTGTGTGTGTGTGTGGTGTGTGTGTGTGGGTGTTGTGTGTGTGTGGTGTGTGTGTGTGTGTGTGTGTGTGTGTGTGTGTGTGTGTATTCTCTGCTATGGACCAGTCTTGTGGTTTTTATCTTAATGTGTGCATATGTATAAATGTGGTCTGTTGATTGTGTAATATATAATATATATATGTTTATGCCATATTTTTATATCATATTTTTATTTTTAATTCAGGATTGGGGAAACGGATTCCGATCTTCTCTGTCTGTACACACAAACTGTAGAGGATTGACAATGAAGGTGACTTTGATGTGTGTGTGTGTGTGTGTGTGTGTGTGTTGTTGTGTGTGTGTAGTGGTGTGTGTGTGTTGTGCTGTGTGTGTGTGTTTGTGTGGTGTGTGTGTGTGTGTGTGTGTGTGTGTGTGTGTGTGCGTGTGTGCGTGCGTGCGTGTGTGTGTGTGTGTGTGTGTGTGTGTGTGTGTGTGTGTGTGTGTGTGTGTGTACTGACCTGCGCAGTATGCCGCCCAGTAGGGAGGCGTTCAGGCACTCTGGTGGGGACAGTCTTCTCTTCACCTCGGCGATGGTGACTTTGTACTTGGAGGTGGAGCTGAGCAGGGACAGGCGGCCCGGCACCGAGCAGAACAGATCTGTAGGGTTCACCACACACGTTCCCCCTGCACACAAACACAACACATAGCAATGTTAGGCATGGAGGAAAAGTGTCTACTATAGACAGGAAAAGGAATAGTTTAAGAAACCAGAAATGTAAATGGTTGTCAGTTGAGTCACTTGATAAGGTTGTATTGTTGAGTCACACAGCACACCTTTCCTTTTACACAAACTCTGTTGTCCCCTTTTCTTGAACTAAGACAAACAGCCCCGTTTATCCCTATCATGTTGTTTTTTCTTTTATACTAAAATTGGATTTTCAATGATCAGGACGTTTTTCATGGAACAGTGAATAATCACTTCGGTGTTGCTTTTGTAAAAGCTGACAGGAATCGTTGCAAAAATAACTGGCTGTGTGTTGTTTTAACAAACAGCCACTATATTACATTGTGTTTCCCCTGCTATAAGAGTGAATACATGGCTGGCAGACGCATTTATCTAATGAGACTGAGTGTCAACAGACAAACAAACATGAAGCATTGCAGCACCACTCAACAGTGGAAACATTAAACAAAGAAAAACTGTGAAGCAATCCAGCAGATTTAAAACCCTTCACTTGCTCTAGGTTGATAAAAGCTTTTTATAAATCATTGGTGAAATTGTACGTTGCACCTATCCTGTACTACAGTTACCAATGATGGGTCAAATGGAGGAGGCGTGTGGTGCAGAGCGTTGGTGTTGGGATCAGGGGGTCACAGGTTCAAACCCCACTGCAGTCAGCGTATTGTTGTGTCCCTGGGCAAGACACTTCACCCCAAATTGTCGCTTTGGATAAAAGCGTCTAACAAGTGACATGTAATAATGTAATGTCAAAACATCATTACCCACCTTATACTTTGCATTTTTAATAACAGTTTGTTTTAACATCGCACAGATTACAATACGAGAAACATTTGGGCTATTTTGCTAAAGTTCCATCGTAGACACAAGAGTTTTGTTGGGTCTTTGTAAAGATGCATTATACCAATGACACGTATGATATTTTTGGTAACACTGATTTTAAAGTCTATTAAAACATTGCAAAAATCCAGGTATTCTGATCAAACTCAAGTGCCTCCATGTGTGTCAACACTACACACACATCCATCAACAGCATGTATGATAAGGATTACAACATTTGATTAGATATGGATCAGTAAAGTGTGAACAATGCAAGGAGGATATTCTCAAGTGCAGATCATTTTAATAATAATAATAATAATAATAGATGTTTACTCCCTGAAAGAGCAACAAGAAAATGAGTGCAAAGCCAGAAGCAGTGCAAATATGATGGGACCTCATTTAGTTTGAGGGATACTTCATTCTGTAATAAATTCTGCAAGTAATGAGAGGTTGCTGCAAGAGCATTTTTCTCTTATTTTTGAGTGTAGCTGCTTCCAGGTCTGTGCTGAATATAACCCCTCAAAATCAATGCAGACCTTGAAAAGCCTCCACTCATAGAAAATACATGTGCATTTTACTCTAATGCATAAAAGTATGAATGTATCCTCAACCCTGAGGAGGGTAACTTTGGATTCGTACAAACTTTGTATCAGATCTCCCTTATTTGTAGAAAAGCAGCTATATATTGGAGGATAATCACAGTTACTTTCCCTGTGTCTTATAACATTAAAATGATTCATCAAACAAAGATATTTTTATATTAACAGCCTTTCTTTTGTCACAGGCAGTATGTTAATCCACATTTGTGTTTACACTGCCTCAAAAACCTGCCTCCAAACCCAAATTAAGGACGCGGCCTATTTGATCTTTGCACATGAAAACCATGCATCTCCAAAGTGTCTCCTTTTCAAGAGCTAAGAAAAACAACCCTCTTTGAGCTTTGTAGAAATATATTTCACAGATAATCCAACTGATCTATGTATTTTAAGAAGCAGGTGAAGTCTTTTAACCCATTTGAAAACCATGAATCCTTAAGTTTATCTGAAAACTGACCAAATATTTGAAGATACACCTTTTTTTCCTGGACAAGTGGCTTGTTCACAGCCTTTAAAGGCAACATATATATTATTCAAATCTGAATGCAATTTGATATAAAGGCACATTTGATCCATACAAATCTAGTATCTTCAAACACCAGTGGTGAGATCAATGTGTTTTTCTCCTTTTCACTTGTTAAATATTACATTTATTACAATATAATATGTATATTTCTGTTTCAGCTCAATATTAGTCTGTACAGTATGTAAGAAAAGCCTGCTGTAATCTTCAATAAAAGCTTCCCTTCAATTACAAACCACCGGCTTGTGTTCTTGAGGCTTCTAAATAAACGATTGGTGTTGTGATGGTGAAGGCTCTCACATTATTAATTACACCTGAATCAGTGTAGCTGCATCCTTCTGGAATAAATCGACTGCTCTGCCTATTATTATTAAACTTTCACTTGAACTAACGTCCCAAGCAGCTGAAACGCAAGGTTTCTGTCTGATGTACTGTAGGCTATATTCTATTATTCATCTGCCTCATTATCAAATCTAACAGCAGGGTGTGTCGCTTTGTTATTAGGCCGTGCTGGATATGATGGAATGAAGAAAGGGAAGCCATTTAGGCCGAAAGAACAACGCTGCAGGCGACGATTGGCTGCACACCCAATCTTTCCAGGCCATGTGGACTATTTGGCCACCGAGTAAGCCTTGTATATGAGCAAGTGTAACCTATATTCTTTGCTCTGTGAATCTATTATTTAGGTTCAGCAGAAATGCGCTAGTTTCTCTGGCCGCAGGAAGGCAGTCAGACAGAAACATGTCAGCCAGGTTCAGCACCACGGACAGCGACGCCCACATTTCTGTTAAGCACCTCTTGTGCAGAAGTGGAGGAGTGATGACGTATTGTTGTAGACCCGACACGGAAGTTAGCATTGCAAGGGTTCCCTCAACAAAATATAATAGGATTTTTCCATTGGATTTCGGAATATTGCAGAAAATAGGATATTAGGCATGATCACGGCACCTTTTGTTCAGTAAGATAATCTCCACATATTCACTCAGATGTTATAACTTTTGAAGCATAGGCCTAAATCCAATCGCTAGAAGTTAAAAGCTAACGTTGGGCTATAAACAACCTGCATTAAGGTCACATGACTTCATGTCACCACCGCTAAACTAAAGGGCGGCTAATGTTTGACGTGAGGACGTTTGTTAGTTTAGTTACTTGTTAGTGCTATACCATTTTTATGACAGATAAGATTGAGAAATTCGCATTTAGTGGCCTATTTTATGTCTATTTTAAACTTTTGAATCGAGACCCAGAAGTGCTTAAATGCAAACTAATTTCCGGGTTTTAGGACTCATTCCTGAACCTCTATTATGTGGCAACTATTGTACTCCAGCACTTTGCGCAAGGCAGTAAGGGAGTGGTATTTCACTATGGCATGCAAAAACGTTAGATTGCAGGTCGAGGGGAATCCATTGATAGTTTGGTTAACTCATATGTGTGTGTGTGTGTGTGTGTGTGTGTGTGTGTGTGTGTGTGTGTGTGTGTGTGTGTGTGTGTGTGTGTGTGTGTGTGTGTGTGTGTGTGTGTGTGTGTGTGTGTGTGTGTGTGTGTGAAGTCCGGCTCGTCTGTGTCTGCGTGTGACACAAACCCTGCAGACCTGTCTGTCAGACTCACGCGCTCTGACAGGGGCGCGCGCCTCTGAAAGCCGTGTGTTCACATCATATTAATTCCCCTAAAAATGTTTTGATTCAAAGTAGTTTGTATTTCATGTTGCCAAGGGCAATCGAAAAGAGCTATTGCCGGTATAGTGCAGTCAGTGGAGCGCGCGGGCCCAGAGGCGATAACGGTATTTAAACGGAGAGTAGCCTCGGGCTGCGGCGCGAGCGGCGGGCGGGATCACACGCGGAATCAAGCGCCTTTTACGAGTTTGCCACGAAAATTAAAGAAAAAGAGACACGGGCCAAATGTCATTCTCCTCATATTCTAACAACAATGTTTATAGCTCCAATAAACAGCCCGCCAATGTCTTTAACAGAATAGAGAGATGCACGTGCACGGGAGGTGACGGGGGCGCGCCTGACAGATCTGCTTGATCTGAGAGAAGTGGTGTAAAGTAAATAGGTAGCCTACATTTACTCAAGTAGCATAGCCTACTTAAGTAAAATGTTGAGAGAACTGTTCTTTATTTGAGTATTTCAATGTTTTGCTACTTTTCATTTCCCACTGCAATTCAGAGGTTAACATTTATGTAATATTTAGTTACTTTGCACAATTGGATTAATGATGTGAAATATAATCAACACTTAAATCCGACTTTAGTTCCACCTGGAGTAAATTCACAAGCTACCCTGCAGAATACAAAGTCATTAGCTGCACCTTTAATGATCAATAATTATAATCAAAACATATGATAGGCTTTGTATTAGTCTGAAATGGGCCAATCTGCATAATGAGTCATTTTACTTTTTGTACTATATTACTGTTATACTTTAAGTAGCATTTTGAATGCAGTATACTTTTGCTTGTAACAGATACTTAAATACAAGATCTCCTTCTCCCACCTCTGTTTGAGCATGCTGTCTTAAAGCTGAACTGGAAAAGGGGATAGAGCGGGATGATTAAAAACACAGACGACTCCCCCTAAGTAGGATCCGCGTTTCTTGAGTGATTTTCTTTTGAAAAAGGTTATGTGAATATTCATGCCGCCAAAGCCGCAGTCAGAAAGAACAACATTAATATGATCTCGGCTGAATCCGGGGCCCCGCGCGGCATTAGCATATCAAAGCGTGCGCCCGAGGCGAGAGAAGCTATCGATACGGGAGCGCGAGGTAAAGCAAAGATTATTGGTTGTGATGGTTGCAGCGGCTGAGCTCAGGGCCAAATACGGCGCACCATTAACCGAAAGTGATAGCGAAGGGATTCCCGCGTCAATCCGAGAGAAAAGCCCCAACACCTAGAATGAGCTGATGAAAAATTAAACCCGAGACACAGCCTTCCTCTCTCTGTGAGGAAAAAAATACACATAGTTTAAAAATATCTATGGCTTTGATGGAGCTAAAAGATGGAGTGGTAAACCCAGACTAGTGAGGAAATAGGCTGGCCTGATGTCTGAGTCCATCCATCTCTTAAAAGGCTTTATTTTAGTGTATCTGATTTAACAGTTAGCCTAAATAACAATTACAGCATTTAAGATGAACAATTATTAATGTTATCTGTCTACATTACAACCCATAAATACATAAGACAAAATAATAATATTTGCCCAGAAGCTAAATGAACATTATGGGCAATCATTTACAAAATACATTATTAACCTATAATTTAATTTGTAGACCCTTTAGTTTGTTTATTGAAGCCTCATAGCCTTTTAGATATTATTTTCGAGTCATTGTGTTTTTAAAAACGATTAAAAATAGAACTTGTAGCAAACATAACAGGGTTATCACTTGTAATAGTATCCATGTTTTCCCATTTTTGCTATTAGGGGAAAGGTCATGAGCTGCAATGTTTGGGGATCATGGTGATTTTATGATCCAAAATAAGCATGCATATTACATTAAAACAGTGTGTTTATTTAATAAGAACCGTCAGTGTGCTCTGTTAATAGCCTACAGGTTTGACTTCAAACAGGAAGTGTCTGTTATCGTGCAGTAATGATATAAAATGTCAAATGCACATCTGGGTGAGAACTAGGTGTGCATTATAAAATCATACTATTTTTGTTTTTTGTGCACAATTGAATTTACCTGGAAAAAACGTAATAACATTTAGAGTGAAAGACAGAGCTGGGAAAAGTGCTCAGATCTTTAAGTTAAAGTATAAGTACCAGAGTGTAGGAATATTCTGTTACAATTCAAAGTCCATTCAAAATGTTACTCAAGTAAAAGTACAAAAGTATTGGCATTCAAATATATTAAAAGTACCATTATGCAGAGTGGTCCATTTCAGGGTAGCCTGTGAATTTACTCCAAGTGTAGATTTAAGTGTTGATTATATTTCACATCATTTATCTGTATATGTAAAGTAACTAAATAAATGTAGTGGAGTAAAGGTACAATATTTACCTCTGAATTGATCACAAAGTACCTCAACATTACATATAAGTAGTACTTGAGTAAATAATTTACACCACTGAGGAAGTGTCTGTTAGAATAATGCAAATAATAGTAAGTACACTATCAAATCATATTAAATCATGACTTTGTTGACATTTTAATTTCGTGGATATAAAACTCGATGACGTTTCAAGTGACTGATAAAATCCCAGTTGAGTGACAGTCCATTTCATAGTGGAAATGTGAAGCAGCGTGTTCAGTGTGTTGGTGTTTAAATGGAGCCGCTCCTGTAACGTGTTGACAGCAGATAAGAGAGAGGAGCAGTTCCGCTTGTTTGTCTGTCTGCTCGCTGTCGTGTTGTGTTCACGGTCCTCAGGTACAACAATAGAGAGAGAATAAGCCCTTACCTCTCTGGATGACGCCCCCTCGGCCGTTCAGCACGAGCCCACACTGTGCTTCCACGGAGCCCTGCGGAGACACGCACTCATTAGCACGAGCCCAGGCAGGTGAAATCACTTCACCCAGATGTGTTTCACACCGCTGGAGCACAGGGTACCCAGCTGCTTCAGAAACACCTTGAATTAATGGGGTTTCTTTTGTTTTTCTTGCGAGATGTGATTCTTTCTGATAATCAATTCACCATCAAAATGTTTCCTCTAACAGAATGTAGGCCTATGAAATAAGGCTATTGATAATTGCAATGACAGAACAAAGAACACTATCATTTAAACATACATTTCTTGACATCAGCAGCTAAATAGTGGATCATTATTCAGTATTATGTGTATGGATCAGTGGTTCCTTATCATTGGCTTGTCTCCATTTAAACAGTACGTTCATTATTATGTACCCATCCCATTGTGATCATTTAAGCAGCATCAAGGTATTAGAGTCAGTCATTCATAAGAACACATTGTGAATAGGTACAAAACAAGATTTTTTTGTGTAGCACAATACATGATTCGATCCCTTTAGGGCTGCCCGAACCACAGGTTGTGAAACACTAAACAATTTAGGTTACATTTGGTTATAAAAGCTAACACATTTTACATTACATCCGCTAAAAAACATTGGCCCTTTGAGCAATAGTCAGTGGTGAAAGCCTTTTTGTTAGAAAGTGAACGTCACTTAAGGATTTGAGTAAAATTGAGGGCACAGTAAGATAAAGGATGCAGCTCACGGCTCACCCAGAAACGAGCTTAATTTGAAAGGCTTCAGGCTAAAAGCGAGGACAGCACACCTCGTCCAGACTGAGAATGAGCTTTAGTGTCCAGAGTTTGGTTTCAGCCACCAACCTGTTGGGGATCACTCTATATAGCACACACCAATACACACACAACAATACAATAACACTGACACACAACAAGCTGCCAAGGGAAATAAATCACATGAAGTCCCTGCATTTCCCTCATCTATGGAAAGTATTCAATATACAAATAGGAATTGTGCTTGTTTGAACGGTTAAAAACTAGTATTGCTTGTCTCTTCACTATAACTCCACAATATATAGGATGTACTCAGTAAACAGGTTTCCATATATGCACTGCATGTACACAGTAACAAGCAAGCAACAAAAACAATACACACACAAGAAGCTGTATTAAGGCTTATAGGAGAAAGGGAAATGTCACATTAAATCACTAAATGTTCCCCATTCATAAACGGAAAGACAATATTCAATATGGCTCTACAAATATACTGTAATGTGTGCTTATTTGACCTGCTAAAATCCATTATATCTTGTCATTTCTCCGCACTATAACTCCATACAACATGACTCAACCCTTTATTTATTCCCATACATTAAGTAGTAAACAGGTTTCCCTGAATGTATGGAAACTTGTTACAGTCGCCATTTTGGTCCAGATCAGACTCGCGTGCTATCAACAATGTCATCAAGAAAGAAGAACACGCGCTTTTATTCAGAAAACACTTAATCCCTCGTGCGAGCCTCGAGGCCTGGCCCACGCAGAAAGCCTGATTAAAATAAAAGTGAGAAAAGGGAGCTTGTTGTAGTTCTTTCTTAACCAGCTCCTGTTCCCTTTTCTTCTATTCCGAAGCTAAAGTGATTATAAAATCAATATACAAAACGCAGAGGTCTTGCATGAATTAGCTTAGTGACGGGAGAAAGGTGTGGCAGCTGCTTTTGTTCAGCATGAAAATCTCTTTAACGCTCAAACATGCGACCGAGCTGCACGAGACCATGGCCGCATCTGTTCCGTTCAGACATCCGCCTCGCGCGAGCTCAGGTTCACGAACCGGCTCTTTCTTTTTCTCAATAAAAGGGTCAAACCTGGGCTCTTTTCAAGTGCTAGCAGCTTATGAGATAAATATGGTATTTGCTTTAACAATGATAAAGTGAGAGCCTTGAAATTAACATAAAATAACTTACTTTGTATCACTACTACTATTAACTTTAAACGGTTGCCTGATTTAACAAAACATATATTTACAGTAGGCTAAATTACATTTTGTTTTATCGCGGAATTACCATTAGTGAATTTCGCATATAAAAAGCACATGAGAAATTGTGATAACATATAATAATGATAAATAAATCATGCAGGCACAATTGTATTTCTTATACCTTGCAATAATATTTAAGAACAGTTCACGTTATTTTTATTTAATCATCAACAGTCTACACTACCACACCCTTTAAATACAAATAAATACATGAAGCTGAATAATGTTTGGAAAATTACAGAAAAAAACGAATGACATGTTGTGTTTTTTTTAACACAGAATTTACATTATTTAATCCTAGAAACCGTATTTAAAAAGTGCATGAGAAATAGTGATGAACAAATAACAAATTGTAATTCTCATAAATTGCTGCAATATTTAAGGACAATTCAATTTTTTAAATGTAATCCTTCCACTTCCTTTAAATAAAGTAAACTAAATTAAAGAAAACTGAATAATTGTTAAAAATAATAAAAACGTATTTTTATCGCCTTTAAAATATAATTGCTGTTATTATTTATACTATATAAAAAGAGTGTAAAAAACGTAGCGAAAATGACGTCTACACATTTCGATAAAAGCGACTCTGTATCGAGCTGATATGGAGTTGGTAAACAGTAAACGTGACGGAAATGATGTGTCGCTGTGTTAAAGTGTGTTTAACTAGAGACGTGTTTTAAGCAGCTCAGATGTCGCTGCATAAGCAACAAAGTTGATTGACGTTAAGTCGGTAATTGGATAAACTACGGTGCTTTATGGTGCTGCAGCAGGGCATTGTGCTCTGAACCCCGATCCGTTAATCCGCCCTTTACCGGAGAATAGAGCAACCAGCGGCTTTTCTCTGCCTCAACAGACAGCCGGACACACACACTCACACATAAGCACACACACACTGACACACACAAGGGCCGTGCGATTCATCTCCACCATTTCTTTACATCGAAAAGAATTATGTAAAATATGGGTCCCGTGTGTTTCAGGGCAAAATAAAGGATGGATTTCACAATGGGATTGTATAGACTGCCAGTCAATTAACCTTTAGAAAACAGGCCGTTCTTTCAGAGGCGCTGCGCCGGGTGCACTTGACATTTACTCAGCCTGTTGTACAGTCACGTTTGGTTTGGCAACAAAATCATCTCAAGATCCAACATTATTTACTCCAAAGTAGGACAGAGTGGGTAAAAAACTGCAGGCTAAGTGTAATGCCGCTTGGTCTGTGTCATAGACAGCAGACAGGAGAAGTAGACAGGCAGACAGACAGACATCTGGCACTGTCTTTCTGTTCAATATTAGGGAATGGCTGTTTGCTGGGGGGAAGAGGGGGGTTCAATAGTAGGCCAGTGGGGCAGGGATACTGGGTCTTGTAAGGGTTTGTATTTTATCATATCTCATGGAGCGGTGTTAATAAACCAGTGAAATGCAATGGATGGTATAGTGTGTACAATGAGGTGTTGATATGAGCATGGGCGGTTCTAACAACTGTAACACTGAGATTGGGCCCCCCTGTGGCCCCCTTAAAAAATAATACATATGATAATGCTATTTGGGAAGTTTTGCAGCCAACACTATACTCTAACTTGGGCCAAAGATAACTGGAATGGGGTGTAATTAAATACATTGAAACTAAGTTACTGTGAGAACTCCTGTCACTAACACTAACAAATATTAAGAAATACAATATTTGGCTGCAACAATAGGCTATGTCTTACCCTAAACTGCATTTAGGTTCATGGTTAAGTAAATCAAGTAACTACAATTGCAACTATGCCCCTGACACCAATAATGGTATTTTATATTTGATGTGCTATGACTTTATGAACTGAGTTTACATCTTGAACACTGTCTTTGTCTCCCTTGTCCTCTCATTCAATATTTCCCCCGGCAGTAAAACTTGTCTAGGACCGCCATTGGATGTGAGGCCTGGAGGTGGTGTGTGTGTGTATTATCGGACAGAGTGTTACCTGCAGATCTTCTGACCCGGACGATGAGAGCCCCAGGCCGCCGGCGGGCAGCAGCCTCTGGTCCGCGTGGTGCATACCGACGCCGTAGGCCTGGGAGCCGTGTGACGTCATCAGCGATAGGTCGTGGCGCCGATACGCGTCGAGACAGCCGAGCTCGCGCCGCTGCTGCTCGTCCAGGCACGAGGACTTGAGAGCCGAGCGAGCATTGTGCAGGTTGATGAAGTCCGCGGGCTCTCCGTGGTGGATCTGCTGGTAGTACTGGCCCGAGTGCAGCGAATTGAGCCCGTAGGCCTCCGGGGCCACGGCCGGGTGGGAGTGCTGGAACTCATAGTGGAAGGACTGGTGGTGCAGGGGCGTGTACTGGTGGTTCGCGGAGAAGTAGGGCGAGGCGAACTCCGTGCCCGCGGGCGCCGGGTAGGTGAGCGGGGAGGAGGAGGAGTAGGCGACCGAGGAGTTGGCCACGGACTCCAGGCACCCGAGCTGCATGAGTCGGTAGCTGTTTGATCCGTCGTGACGTATCTACAAGATAATAAAGAGACGGGGAGATATATGAGCCGCGTGTCATTTAGCATCAGCCGTGGTGTCTCCTCTCTCTGCCTCCCAAAACACACGCAAAAACACAACTCACACACTCAAAGCGTTTTTTTTCTCCACTTTAAACCACCTGAAGGAGATGTCATTTCCACACGCCCGGGAGGGGAACACGGCAACAGGAGCCATCGGTATTTTTCCCCTCTCCCTTTGGCATGCCTGTCACTCTCCTTGCAGCGTTTTAAAAGGCGTGCTGTTATATATTATTATTATTACCGAGCTGCTGGCAAATGTACTGTCCCTGCTCTCTCGCTCATTGTGGATGGGAGGTAAGCAGAGAGAGACACAGCGGAGTGAACCGCCCTAAAATGTTCTAATCACACTGTTATCTGCTTCCACACACATAATAAAAAGCCCCGTTTTTACCGGTTGCTGCACTGAGATGAACGACTAATTTCTCCCATGCATTTAATTATTTTATCCAGTAGGCTAATTCAAGTAAACGAGGATATCCTAATGCGTGCGTAATTCTAAACCAAACAATATTTATTCTTCCACACACCTACTATAATTTCAGTTATAAGTAATTAAATTATTAGCCTACCTCTGCGTCGTGGACAAGTCCGGGGAAGGTCGCTGACATTGTGTTTTTTCTCCAAAGTGACCCCGGTTTTTTTTTTCTTTCTCCGCTCTCTGGTCCGGTTGAATGGTAATAATAAAAAACGCGTTAAAATCCTCAAGAAGCAAGAGAAATGGAAAAGTCCCCCTCGCCTGCTCTCGGTATCGGCAGAAAGCAGGAGCGTCTCCCCTCTGCACGGACGGGGCTGGCTCACGGATTTTGTACTTGCAGGGTATTTCTCGGCTGATGTCGTAGGTCCCTTGGTAATATAGAAGTTTTGAAAATTAAGCATCAGCACTGAGGAATGGGAGGACAATAGACGGAGCGGAGCATCCCAGGAGACAAGGAATAAATATTGTATCTTCGCTTTAATAAGGAACCGAGTGCTTCTTTCAACATTTTCTAAACGCTTTTTGTGGACATTTTCCCTTTTTGACCCATTTGTATTTTTCCACAAGACTCGCTTTCGACGTGTTATTCTTTTTTTTTAATTCACATCGGCAATGTTGATTTTACAAAAAAAATGTACGGATTTTCAACGGAAATGTAAGTTTGCTTTGAAATATTATAGCGCTATTTTGACAAATAGCAACAGGATAAAACGGCATTTTCGTTTGTTTTCAGAACAATCTTGAGATGGATTTATTGATCTTCGATGGGGAATTTTCTTTAGAAACGGTGTGTTTTCGATGCTTTCTGCATGCCTTAGATTCATTTGATTTTTTTACTGTTTTATGGCATTTTTTATTCTATGGTTTTATTCCATAATGAAATATTTAAAAATGTATGCTTCACATTTCCAGTAGGGATTTATTCGATGTTACCACAACGGATTTATTAATAAGATAGCATCCTATATTGAGTTTATTAATCAAAATGGCTTCAATTAAAAACCTTTATATACAGTGTATTATGACTTAAAAGTATTTTATGTGCAAATGTGCTAAAATATTAATCAACGCTGCTTTTTTTCCGTTTTAGTTATTTTTTACTCTTGCTTTGAATATTAGACTATTTTTGTATTTCTTTTCATGGGAGGAGGGGGGTTACTATGAGTGTTGCCTTTGTGAAAAGAGACCTTCTTATTTATTTTCAAATCAGCATTTTATGTGTATGTGTGACTGAAAGAAACGTGCGAGGTTTAAATGGAAAAATGGATGAGTGTTGCTTATTATAATTATTTATATTATCAATGTCATTATTGTTATATTTCCCAGCTTAACGGAGCCATTGTTGTATACAATAATAGAGGATTTAATTGTTGTTAATATTTATTCGAAATAACACACTTCTTTACCTTAAATTATTTTCTGACGTTTTTAAGGACAACAACAAAGCATCAAACAGTAACAGGTGCACAGAAACCACATGCACCGCGATATAGCCTAAATTATCAGAATGAATACACAGCCGATTGCTGCCTTGCCCTTAGGCCACCCGGGAAGCAACAGAGATACAAAACGTAAAAAGCAGGAGAAGCCCAAAGCTTGTGGCCACAGCCTGAAGAGAAGCAAAGGGAAATAAAGTAGAGAGAGGGGGGGGGCTGAAGGAGGAGAGAGAGAAGAGTCTGACAGATTTCCTGCCATTCAAAACAAACCAGAGAGAGAGAGAGAGATAAGCCCTAATCAGTCTTGTTTTTGATGTTTCTTTTTTTTCCTGCTCAGCTGTAACTGTAACCAAAGCGACTCCTTGATATTATTAAAGTGCAGGCTGCAGACGCCGGGACGCCGGATTGACTCTGCACTTTAATTAACTATTTCCCCTCCCATCTGTTACCGCATCTCTCTGGCCTAATCGCTTACAATAATAATATTAATAATCACAACAACAACAAATATACGCTATAATAATAATTTGTCTAATTCAGACGTGTAAATAACACAATAGATGTTTGTTTTTTATAGAGAATTTAATAGAAAATATATGTTTTTGCTCGTTTTATTATTGATTTTTCCTCATATGGTGCCATATCTCCAACTGTAATCACGTTGGTCACAGAGCTAATACACCCCCCCCAAAAAAACAAGCTTAAATATTCCACAAGATCTCCCCTTTTCTTCTTGATCAAGACTGTCTAGCCTTTAGTGAAGCAGTCATATCTGAAAAAAAGTCCACAACAAACACAAACGGTGCCTTAATAGCCTCCTTTAAAAAGTTCTCAAGGCCTTTTATATTTTAATTAACCGGTACCGATTGTTTTGCCTCGGGGCTCGACGTGAAACCTCTGCACGATGAGACCGGCGAAGGCCGGTTGTCGCGCGCCAGGTATTAAAAAACGAAAGAGAGAGAAGGAGGGTGGAGGGAGGG